AAGAACTCTGGGGTATTGGTGGTAAGATCAATCAATTCAATTTATCAGCTATAAATCATGCACATTGGTTTCGGCTGCTACAGTTTCAGTCACTGGAAAACAGGAGTGTGGGACGTACATCCAAGTTTGGAGGCAAAGGCATATCCAGTTTGTTCGGAAATTGGGTAGCTACGCATTGAAGGCGATAGCTTTGACGCACCAGCGCCACTGACTGCGCGACTGAACCATTTCCGCCAATGTCATTAAACACTGGTGATTTGAGTCCCGGGGTCGCCATCCAGGGAGGCAGCAGTTGCCCACCCAACTAAGTTTACTGGTTGGTGTTTTCGTACTTCGTTGCCAGGTCATACGCTGTTCACCTCTCGCTGGCTTCCACTCAGCATAGGACTGGGAAAAAAGAGGTCTGTGAGGCAGACGGTCTTTTGGCATACGGAGTACATGCCCCAACCAGCGCAACCTATGAAGCGTGAGTAATTCATCTATCCTTTGTCCTAAGACCATCTGGCGTACCTCAGTATTGCTAATCCAATATTCCCACCAGACCTCACCAATGCCTCGGAGACACCGATGGTAAAACACGGACGTCTTCCATATGTCCTCTGTACGTAGAAGCCACGTTTCTGATCCATAGAGCAGTATGGAATTCAACACCGCAGTGCAAACTCTTCCCTTGACAGACAGACCCACGTCACGTCGGTGCCATAGTTATCGGAGGTTGGCAAAAGTTGCCATGGCCTTTCCGATTCCAGAAATAATCTCATCTCCAGCCAGTCCAGCGGAACTTATATAGCTGCCCAGATAAACAAACTTATCTACCTCGTCGATTGGCTCACCGGCAAGCATGAGGTGTGGTTTGATCCCACTCAGTCTTGTACAGGTGTGAAGGGCATGTCGAGCCGTGCATTAGTTATTTAGGTTATTTACAATCGTTTGCATTTGGGAAGTATCTGAACCAAGAAGAGCAATATTGTCTGCATACTCATCTATGAGGGAACGTCCCGGGAGCATTTCGACTCCTGAGGTTTCAGAGGCAGGTAGCATACTGTAAGGCAACTGGCACCATCAAATCTGCGACCCTGCATTTAGAACCCTTGAACTTTCCCCTGGGAAGGTTCCACCTACCGGTCGCGTGTGATGAATTTCAAGTGATTCTGGAAACACGAAAAATCACCTCCGTTCACTTTCGCTATGCGGGCAAACGAGGTTATTCGATAAACAAGGGAATCTGTGACCACAGACATAATCGGTTTTGCTCCATTTATCCGATGAGTTTTATTCAGGATGAAGCGCTTGATGGAATTCTTTTAGGAACTAACCGCTGGGTTAGTCGCGTGCTGTGTAGGTCAGTTGGCCGACTTCTTCGAGGAGCCCCTTCCGCACCTCATGAAGGGTGGAAACGAGACAGGGGTGAAGTATGAAGGACATTACCAGCAAACCCAGCTGTGCTCATCGCAGCCCTCTCCTGCATAGAGATCCCGAGACGGAACCGAAACACTGTCGGACAGGGAGGCCTAGTCGCGCAGGCGTCCTAATATGTTTGGTGTTTAGATCTGAAGTACGAAGCCAACTTCGAGTATAAAGCTCGATAGAACTGTAGTAGTACTTAATAACCAATACAGACCAACAAAATTAGGAAAAAACCGATACCAAAGATCAGCTATCCAGTGAAGTGCCTTGAACTGGAAGAGTGATGTCTCGAACCCGTCCAAATTGATGTTCAGTTCCCCAGACCCATGGAGCTCTCACCAACATAAGTTAGGCGACGTTAGCAGTGACTCAGAATGCTCGTCCGAGGTCTTGTTGATTAGTTTCACATCTGAATTGGGAGTCTGTCCTCTTCTGGAGTGCACATCCTCAAGGAGCGAATGACTACATAAGCTAAGGTGTGCACTGCTCTTGAGGACTACATTTACCTAATGAGCAGTGTTCATGGTAACATCTACCTGCGCAGCCGCATGGATTGTCATCAACGACAGCATGACATCCGTGTTCAGCACCACCGATGTTTAGCGAAACATGATTTACTTGAAAGCCTTAATATGAAGAAAAGGGACTTAGTGCTAGCGAACTACAATGTTTCGAGATGCCTACACTTCCAGACACCTGTTCGGGCAATCTGGACAGAAACTCACAACAAGAACGCCACTGACACTGGTTGGCATCCATATTTCGCACCATCTCCAACCGGGCGCAGTGGGGAGCACGCGGTCCTCATCCTGGAAGGCAAATAGGCACTCAAACGCTCTGTAAACTCCTTCACACCCTTCTGCCATGTCAAGGGTTGGCCAACTCCCCGCTTCCGACACTATGAGTTGGGCAAACGACGGTTCGGCATACGCAACATATGTCCCAAGCCGCACGCAGGTTACCGGTATCAACACAGTACCGTTCCTTGGTCATGGATAGGTTTGAATCACTACGTTAGAGGGCCTTCTTCCGAAACAGGGCGTCCGGTAAAATATCCGCCGTCCAGACGAAGAGCTCTCATGTTAGAGATGCAACTTCGTCAATGCCATTTTCAATGTTTTCACCCAATGCCATTTGGTGAAGCGGCAGCTCATGTTCCTCCAAAAAGAACGAATTTAATCGACTGGAAGGAGACTCGGTCACCAGGATAAAAACGCTATAATTCCCTGGAAAATAAAAAAAACTGGCAAACTGGTCCCTGAGCATATTACTGGACAAGTGTAGGGCCAAATTGCACAGCTACGAACCAGTAATCCCATTGAAACGCCAACCTTTCAGTTGCTGGGTTTGAACAACCCTTTTAATAAGTCAAGGGTATAATACAACAAAACAGTATATTCCATTGCATGGAGAACATGAAGTTTCAAGACGTTGTACTTCAGCAGAGAAAAGTGGTCCGATGGCGTTCGTCGAACCGGGTCCAAAGATCACAGTGATTACAAACCATCACCATGCAGTAAGACAGGCACCCTGACAAAACATTCACAGCCTTTTGGCTAAACTGCTCCACAGACCACTCGGTGTAAAACGAAACTATCGCGAAGAAAAATACATACAGAACAACGAAGCACCGGAAAACCACCTGTACAGCTGTATAAAACGGAGAGCAACAAAAAAAAATAGAAGAGGTATTGGTGCATACAAGTAGCAGAGGGAGCAACACAGAGACGTTCGCCCTGATAACATCCGGAAATGGGGTCTCGTAAATGAAACAAGTGTTGAACTGCAAAACAAAATTTCGGCAGAGTCCAACAGACGACAATCCGTCCAAAGATAACGGTGGAAAAATATTTGCAAATGTATCATCCTTCATTGTGCGCACGGAGAGAGTAGATCACAAACATCGTGAGCCCACAAAATGAATTCGGAATTTCAAGAATAAGCACAGTTGGCGCGCAGTTTCGATTGTTACACATTACAGCTCTGAATGCGGCGGCTCGTCTGAAATAGAAATGAGTAGACAAAATGAGAGCTTGGTCATCAATAAGGAACCAAGACGCAAAGCGAGACCATACATCACGGAATGAAAAACTGGCGTAGTCAGGCACTTGGGACCACAAGCACTAAATTTCACCCGTTTTCGCGTGGAAATGGCTATTCAAGTGACATAATACCTCTTCCCGAGACAGGTTATCCTACAGAAACAACAAGGGTCTTATTCACGGCATCCATTTTTCAAGTAGGACTGTAGTCTCGATGAATATATATCCTGAAACGCACCTTTATGCAACAACAACCCAGTTGTGACAACCACATGCACTGAAGGCCAGTTATGCTTGTTGTCACGAATACACAGGACAAACAGAAAGAATATTCATCCGACCCAAGTCCTCTCATGTTTTCCTCTCCCCCTAGCTGGTTTTCCGATTAATCTATTCGAATGAAGTTTTTTCTAACGATCGTGAGAATTACGCTTGTTGCAAATCTAAATTCACTTTAATTTGGAATAATGTTTCCACAACAGACTATGGCCCCTACTTGCTTGTTCCATACTTGTTTGCATATTGGTACTAGCTTGGTATGGAAGTATCTGTATTTCTTGAAGTGACTGCGTTGACAATGTTGAATGTAGACACATCAGCGCGGTCACAGCCACTTTACTGCTGGACCAGAGCATTGGTATGTTCGGACGAGGTAATGTCGGTCACCTGCGCAAATTTTATTGGAAACAGCTTCCTGCACCCCCCACTACAGCAGTCTTCAACACAGTAATACGCCTTTTCATTCACATATCAGTGCATGAGGGCAAGAAAAGACACCATAACAGCAGAGATTGAATTCCAATGGTTCACGTATCCCGTCAGCTGTTCACATATAATCAGAACCAAGGATATGGCAGGATAACGAACAGATAATTCAACGAACACACAAGCCAGTGAAAAGACTAAGGCGAGCAAATGTTATCGTCGTACGGCAGAACACGCTCGATAAAAGTATTGTGCTTGCAGACATGTTTCAATGTCGGCCATACCGAGCCACAAATTCCGGTTGTTTGAGCCGGTTGAGTTTGTGGCGGCGAATTGCAGCGGCTTAAGCAAAGCGTAACAGACAGCTGTTTTCTTGGCAGTTTATGACTAAATACCTGCTCTGGTTCTTTGAAATCATTGCAATCCAGCAAGTGGCGAGCACTTGCGCTGGAAGGGACTCTCGAAGGATTAACGATTAAGTGCTCCAAAAGCCTAGTCTCTCGGCTCATCCAACTTACTTGCTACCGCAAATGGAGCGGGACAGTAATATACGGGAGGAGGTAGCCAAACAGTCTGGTTTGTCTAGCTTGGTTTCTGTAATCAGTCGTCATGTTCTGTTGACCGCTTCCTAAACAAAGCAACACTGAACCCTCACGTGAAGGGTTGGCTCAGTCACCGCTGTACAAGTCTATTATTCGGGTCTCCTTTGAGTGTTAATGCGATAATGTTCTTAAGGGACAGTGTCTCGCTTCTCTTTCTATCCACCAGGCTATCCGTACTATTTGATGAAGCTGTTGGGATTGGTGTTTATCCAGCAGAACAGCTGAAATTTGTTTCTACAGCAAACACGCCTTGTGTCAAGGATCGTAAGTTAAAATATCTACCATAGAATATCAACTTAATGAGTGGCCCATCTTCAAGTTTCACCGTTCTACTCTTGGTGTTTTATCACATCGGAAACGAACCAGCTTCTTTGAATTTCCATTGCAACTTTATGGACTGTGGCGTTTGTGAGTCAGTGACAACTTGATTCGCCAGATCAAAAATTTCAGCCATGAACCATAAAACATTGAACAAGTGCAGTTATAAATGTTCCAACTGAGCCACAACATCTATAGGGTCAAATTACCGGTAGTTTGTTTTCTTTCTTTAACCAGGATTCCGATTGTATGCAAACAACTGACGAGATACCCGAAATAGTTGAATTCAATCCATTCCGTTATAAGGTTACTTCCTTCTCTACAATGGTCTACATGAGTTACCAACATTTTGCTGCACAGAAATCCTACAACTTTGAGGGAGTCAATGGAGCCGTGGTGTACTTGTGGAATGGAAGCGATAGGAGTCATCGCATTGTGTCCGTAAAACATGAATCTTTTAATTTTGATAATGAGCCTGTGACACACAGTCCCATTTAGGAGCGAAGAGATGAGGCGCCAGACTTTAGAGCTTGGAACCCTCGGGTACAGGCTTGCTAAAGCGTATGGTGAAATCCACAAGGCATTACTGACCATGTGCACGTTTGAATCAGTCGAATTCTTTTCGAAGTAGCATGTCAAATTCTACAGACTGAGGTGACTGGAGTGTGCATTCCAATGTTTCGCGCTGTATTTGAAGTAGGGTCCTGGCTTCTTAGTTCAGTGATAGCACAATGACTGGACGAGACGAGAAGCGAGTGAGGCAACAAACTTCGATGGACTGGCGTCACTGACGGAAAAACAATCTCTAGCAGGGACCTAATCAGGCCAATTTATCAATAGCAATCCAGGTCATCTATCGGACTACTCCTAATCGATTGAAGACCACTTGATATCTTATTTTGAATGTGCTAAAACAAGCACGAATACAACTTTTTACACGGACGACCATTCCATTGTGTCAATCAGCCTCCCTGTTGACCGTTGCTCCATCACGAAAACTTGACAACCACTTAGTAGAAATGATACGGCTACCTCCAACCTCATTGTCGGTCTTTCGTTTTTCGATTAGCTGTTATTTTTTAACCACAAAGCCCGAAAACAAGGTTGTTGAAAGCGATCGTTCGCTGAGCTATGTTCTTCATACCGATGGGAATATTTGGTCAGATGGAAGCGGTCTGCAATCTGGGCCGGGCAAGAGACGTGGCAACTCCGATCTGTGACATTTATGAAGCCCGCCCATCCGCTCCTGGTTGCTCACGGTAAATTAAGTGAGCAAACTAAATAGAGTAGTCCTTCTGTAAGCATACTCCAACAACACTCAAATCTTTCTAGAGGAAACCGTTTTAGGACAGGACCTCCTGTTATCCTCTTGGCTAATCAATAAGAAAGATGCTGCCAATCGGTCTGGACTGAATGTTCCGGTGGATCCGAAACTTGTTTCTCTGATGCGGAAATGAGAACAGACAAAACTTCCCACTGTTCAACTTGTCATAACACCGAGGAAGCCAATCGGGTCATTGAAGGGACCCACGGTTAGATCTCGAAAAAGACAGATTGCCCGTGTTAGCCACCTTGTTGTGAGAGAGTATGGCTAGCCCTGATGACAGATTATTTGACGCACTTTCAATAATGATGATGAGGTGATCGGTTGCGTAATAAGTAGTTTCCTGGAGGTTTAAATACACAAGAAAAGCAAACAGACCGTAAACGCGTGTTCACACTCCAAGTTCAGAAAGACAGAGGCAACAGGATGGATGGACAAGGACAGAGAAGCACAAGATGTCTGTCCGTGCGACTGACCACATTATTTATATGCTTGTACGAAGGATTTTTTACGCTAGGATAACCAATCTGTGCCATTTATAGAGTCAAATGCCACCCAAATTGATGGCGTAGGCGCCTCTGTTTGCTTACACAGAGCTGGTACCGGATCTTGCGAATTGTCCTCCTGACAGAAGACAGCTTTCGTACTCTAAATCGGTACAGTTGTGACGGTACCGGCAATGACCGGCTCCCATTTTCTCCTCTATCGTTTAAGGAAATGAGTCGCAGAAAACAAGGACGGGTAAGGTTGGTCACCGGTGGAACGCTAGATCGCACATTATACACCGCCTGTATGAGTAGTGAAACCAGATGACAGTCGATAGCGAGTGTGTGTGCGAAACCGATCATTTCGAAAGTCTCCCAAATCCATTGTCTTTGTAAACTAAAACAAAACAATAATACGGAGGCGGACAGATGAAAACAATAGGGGTTACCTTTAGGAGTAGCCGGTGGCGGTGCGGCTGTGGTCTCCTGACTGTCCGGTTGCTGAGTCTCTGAAGATTCGGTATCTTTAGGGGCTTCATCAGCTAAAAGTTGAGAGAAAAATACAGTACTAGGATAGGGAATTGTAAGAAAAAAACACGGGTCAGAACGGACAAGTGTTCCCGTAAGACAGAGCAGCATGTGAGACACAGGCTATTAACCAGAAGCATGACGTTGGGGACTTAGCTTATTCTTAAAAGAAGATTCATAGATGGCGCCAACCGAGCTAGACGGATCACACAGCAATTTTCGGAAACAAGTTAAATGTAGTATCACACAGGGCAACTCACTTGTCTGTGGCTTCGTTTCTTGCTGTTGTTGATGTTCTGTGTAGAGTTTGAGCAGACGCGCCATTTCGCCTTGCCAAGCTATGAGTTTTCTGTTCAAATATAGTAGTTCTCGCTTCAGCTGTCGCTGTTTATCTTCGAACTCGGAGACCAAAACCGGAGGTCGTTCGGTCAAGGGAGTTTCTGCGAGCTTCTGATTGGACTGGTCGAACCAAGCCTGATGGTCGAGGAAATCAAAATGGAACGCGTATGCGAACAGATAAACCCGGTCTCTTACTCAGTAGACAGGCAAATATTGGGAAGTCGTTCGATAGTCCGAACTGTAGGGCAACGGCGTAAGACAACTTTACAGGTGAACTGCTCAGAGAGTCGGAAACCTACTCTTCTGTCTGATTTTGGAACGAATGCGCTAGCTAGCTGACCGCTGAACATGCTTGCATTCTTCACGTTATTACTCGCCATTTGTTCGGATCTCTTACAGGCGTTTTATACGATACATCAACTAATGTCATGACTTCAGAGAGAACAACGTTGTCGCTATAGGGATTTCACCTGTTGAGGATTTTGGGATACAACCAACGGATTCATTTTTAGCTCACATTCAGAGGTGCTGGGATAGCAACTCTACCAAGAAAACAGAGGCTACTTTTCAAGAATTCACGAAAAGCCTTCCAAGTAACATTTCTATGGAATCTCGGAAAAAACCACCAGCAGCTCCTTTAGAGTGCAACACTTTTCCCCGAGGATTGATTTCAATCCACCTATTGAGAAACACAGGAAAAACTGTGTTTCAAGGACAATTTTGAATAGAGTGCAGTCAGACGCTTTCAGAGGTTCGAAATCGCTCAGAACCTGTGAAACGGAAAATTCATAGTTGAAAACTTGAACATGCTGTCAGACTCAACAAATGTTGGTCTTATGTCAATGTTGAAATGCAGAGCATCAGACTTCCCCTTTAAAGTGAATCGATGAGAATGGTACTCCCCACGTGAGTTGTTAGCGTTAGATAAAGTACTCACTGTTAGCTGATTTGAAAAAACTCTAATAATCTCACTGCGAAAGAGCAAAGGTAACCCTTTTGATGCCCCTTCTTCGACCTGAACACAGGGGAGAGATAAAAGCAGTCCATTCAATAAACAGTGTTAACCACAAGACATTCACAGCAAGTATCCGGGGGGTACCTGTGTATTACTGATCAAATCTTCCAGGGTTTTCTGTTCCGAGTCGGTGAAAACTGGAGGCCAAGGAAGGTTGTCCATTGTTTTTGTTGTATTCTCAACAGTAGCATTGCCTTCAGAACTTGTTTGGTTCTTGGTCAGCTCATCCGCGTGTGTTTTCAAGCGTATCATTGTGTCGCGCATCACGCCCAAGAAGTTCACGGCCTCTGTTAGCGACTCATTCAAAGCTTGTATCGCCTTGGGTCGGTGTTCAGCCTCTTTTACACGCAATTCGATCGGCAACAATAGTTTGCGAATATCACTAAGTTTTTCTTCAAATTTCTGAGAACCGGAAGAAACAGGGAAAATATGGACCAAAGTAAGTTTCGCTCACACAGTCACCCAGCACAGCCTTCATACTCTTCATCAAAATAAAGCAACCAACCGAGAACCTATTCGTCGTTGAGAATTACAAAAACCTGTTTGACAAAAACAATCTGTTTTGTATGTCTAACGGGTGCGGGAAGCAATCACTTGCGTGGCTCCTAGGTGTGTGTGGTCTTCATTGTTCCGACCTGAAAACACAGGTATCAACAAATCAAAGTGTGATCGAGGCTCAACGGATGGGCGCCAAGTCTGGCGAAGTGCGGATTAGACCAACTAGAATGAATCAATATTTCATTTCACTTGCGTTTCGCTAAATGATGAACAATACAAGTGCGAATCACCTAGCGTCGAGCAGTGATCCAGTTTATAAACCATAAGGGAATAATACGACACAAAGCCTGAATAAAACCCTCAGCCTACAGGTCAATGTATGTTGAATAGCATAGAAGCACCGTGCGGCCGTTTCATACTTGTTGCAAACCGTAAGCGGCTTTTGTCTCACGGATATCTGCGGAAGTCCGGGACCGCTAGCAGTCCAATATCATACATTTTGGCCGAAAATGGTTGATAATTACTGTGACTGGTTCACACCACACAATCACCCGTTGACCTCGAAACACGACTGCTTGGATGGCTCACGAAAACGAGACGTTGTCTTCTCTGAGTAGTGGCATGAGTGGCCAACAGCGAGTTAATCGCAATGTTGGCTAGTCACACCAGGTCGAACAGTACAGTACTTATGCCCTAGCCAGGAAGTCGCCGGCTACGGCCCCTTCCCTAGGAATTAGGAATATTCAAACAACTGATGGTTCCCAACAAGGATGAAACAGCTGTAAAATGCTTTTAGGCTTTTAAGCATCTGGAGAATGATAAAACCGAGGCAAAGAAGCTCAGTGAGGCGATGAAGGCAGTAGGTAGAACACTACCGAATTCCTACAAGCCATTGTCTTCCACCCAACTTCACCAAACAACCGATGTGAACATAGAGACAAGTGACTCACCTCGCGTGGTGTTGTGATACTCTGCTCTTCGTACCATTCGTTGTGTGCGGTTAAAAGCTGATTCAAGGCCGACAACTCATCGGCTGTTGAATAGGATCCGTAAATCTCTGACTGAACTTTCTCACGCGTTGAGAACAGAGTGGACTCCAATTCGTTCATAGCACGTTCCAGGTCGCGCTTTTCCTGGTCGGCTTGACGGAAATCGTTCAGCCTAAGTGAAAAGGCAACAATTGGTGAGTCAGACAGAATGACATTAGGAGCGCATGAGCGTATGCCCAAATTCCGTATGCGAACTATTCGAAGTTAATAGTGAACTATAACGACCAATCAACAGTACGACAACTCTACTGGCTAAGCCTGCTTGGTCAATAGACTGACAACAAAGTAGACAGTCTGTTTCCCTATTCTCAGCGTTCAGTGGTCTCATCTGTTAAGAGATGAAGTGGAAAGCGTGAACATCTAAGGGCGCGTCATCGCCGTTATTGCCAACAACAGTGACCATGAGCATTCATGCTTCGAGAGTGTCATGAAAACAAAAGAACGAACGGGTAAATCAGGTGAATAGAAACGGGTTCCGGTGCCCGTCATCTCTAGTTAAGTGCGGGCAGCAATGCATTTCGGATGCCAGACCAACCCTTCCTAACTGCCTTTGTGATTATGCATGTCTATATTGGGTGAGGAAAAAATATAGACCTTCCCTCAAAGTTCTAGTATCCTTCAACATCGCGGCGTACAAACCAAAGGGAGGCTGAATAACGGTTTAGAGTCAATTCATCTATAAGTGTAATCCAGATATACTTTAGGAGATCCGGGCCGAAGACAGCTCGAAGAGTGTTAAAAAGATTCAGCGCCGTGTGGTGTATAATGGGGAGTTTTTTAATTACAAAGTCAAAACACAACGTGATGGAATAGGTTGTTTTAATCCGACGTTTCGGTTGCCGTGGACAGCCTTTCTCAAGGATTTCTACAATCAACTGAATATGAGCCAAATGCACCGACATTTGGGTCCATTACCGTGTTCAGTGATTGATGCATCCCTGTGATCAGTTGCGGGGCCACGAAATCCCCCATGGGTTTGAGAAATAGATAGGCGCTACGATCCATCTAAGACATAGGGGAGCCGACCTACACAAACGGGATTCCCTGACCTCACGTGTAGAAGCATACAGTTCATAGCCGAGTGTCGTTGGAACATTACGAGGGGGCATCGTTGCAACCTTGTAATTAACGGATGGGGTTTTTGACGGGCAAACGATAACCATGGCGCCTTGGCGTGGCCATTTGTTGGGGAGGTTGGAGGCGTACCAGGAACAAAGTTAGCCATTCCTGAGAATGCTGTCTCCCCAGCTACAATAAGGGTCTAATGTTTCGAAGCCAAATTGCAGAAAAGCAGGAATGATAGGGGGCTCCAATTGAACCAATCCCTACGAAGTAACTCACCCGATCATTCTAAACATGTATGTCCTTTGAAAGCACCCGTATCAGAAGGAGACAGTAAACAAATCTAAGCCCGGGGACGAGATGGCTCAGGTGATTAGAGCGCAATTTATTGACCGGAAGGTCCGTGGTTCGAACCCGACCTCTGCCACTCGACTTCCCCCGTTTAGGCTTGGGCAACCTGGCAGCATCCCAGCCCTCGTGCTTCCTTCTGGTGGCATGGCAACTAGGCACCGAAAGGGTGTTACAGCTAAATGATTATCTTTTTTATTTTTAAATCTAAGCCCTTGCTAGTTTGTATACTGTGCCAACACATGTCATCGCCAAGGTCATGGAACATTCCGAGCAGCTAGCAAACCACGCCAAAAATGCAACTTTTCTGAAGGAAACCACCACCTGTAGAAGGATTAACGATAAAAAATCAGCCACACTATTACACCTAAGTGCAAGCACCCTCAGCACTAAACGACGATCTAATTGGTCGGAAAAGTCCATGCTAATCGATAAAAGCCGCTGTGGACAACATCATGAAGGGTGTGAATAAGAAACGTCGACGCTCTCTTGAGTTTAGCTGAAATGAAAAGTCCGACCATATCTCACACGTACCCATCGGTGTACCAATCAATGCTTATTGGAATACGACTGGGACGTTACATTCTCCCACGACAAATGGAATAAATAGTACAACTATGCTGTAAGTGGTACAACTAATGAACAGCGTCCCCGATCGAAGTTGGACCAATTTAGGGACTGACAATGTTGAGAAGTATGTGAAGTTCGAGTATACCACCCAGTTGTGGATTTTTTAACCGAATTCGGCAAGTATTTCGTTTGCAGTCGAGGAGACATCTGTTAGTTCCTCTCCTCGATTCTCATTGTTTTACGCCAAATGACCAACCCGCTAACTGACTTTAAAGACGACACCGAGTGCGTAGTATGGTACCTCAAAGTCGGCATCAGTATCTTGTGTGAATCCTTGGTGAACCTTGGGCGCGTTGTTCCTTATTTCTACCTTACGTTCCCCTTGGAACACTTTCGGGGTAATCTCACATTAGGCCGCGTCCGGTGACAACGCTGTTGTGGACTTGTCGAGAGAGCGACAACAGGTTGGGCTCCCGTAACTACAAATCAGGGAACAATCTGTGAACATCGATCTCGGACAAACCCGGCCTGCCCATCTTGTGGAGTCCAGCTGAATATCGAGGCTGAGGTGTAATCTCTCAATCCCTGGCATTAATCAGCAAGTTTCGCTGCTATCAAACCATAGCAACACGACGCAAAGTGAAGTCAGGTATAAAGAAACATCGCACTTTCCCAAAATGTGGTTCAACTAACTAATCCAAGCGCCGTCAGAAAACCTACAGGACACCGCAGCACGTCATTTATCTGCCGGGCCACCTGTCGTATCTTTTGGGTCGTAAGTGGGATGAAACACGGTATAACACTTAACCGATTTAAATCTCCAAGCCGTTGCCCTGTGACGCGATTGTCAGGTATGTTCATTTCGATTACGTCCACAAAGTATACAGTTCCCAACCAAAATGCCTCCAGATCACGAAAAAGGCTTATGGGAAGAGTGCTGAGCGATCGGTCACAAAACTCTGGCTAGTAGCTCCACGGGGTTGACGTTGCCTATTACTTCTCGCTCTTTGTTCGAGCACACATTTCGGCAATGCATAGAAGTTGACCACAACAGCTGAATTCTAGCGTTCAGGCCAGACTGTCTCTCACAAATCAAGTCAGTCTTCGCCTAAAACAGAGACATCCGGTACTGATGTTCCGCTGTCGAGCGTCGATACTCTCGACATTCAAGTCCATTGACGAGTGAACCGTTGGAAACCGAACGAGGGTAGGATCGGTAAGGCGACTGACATGCACAGCGGCAACTTCTAACAACCCTCGCATAATTTGATCAAGTGAAGTAAAAACTACACTCACTTTTGTTTGAAGACCGCCCTATGGTCATCTGTGGGAGCATTGGCATCCACATGTACCAGATCGAAGTTGACACGTTCGGTAAAAGGCAATGGTTTCTGGAAACAATAAGTATTACCATGAGAAAATGTGGGGATGCAGACGACAATATCTATCTAAGGCACAGTGGAGACACAAAGCAGGGCCAGTGAGTAACTAGAGCACCGTGGCTGGCACAGGGAATGAGGCAAATGGACGATTCAAACATGCACAGGGATGTAGCACACATAAGGGGACAAAGGTCACCTTGGTAACAACAGGAGTCTTGACTTCTTTTGTGGCAGAAGAGGTCGAGGTGTTGTTGTTGGCCTGAAAAAGGTGATGAGACGAACAGAGGTACACGAAGATGTTCCGGAACATGTGTGCTAACAAGAGGAAATAGCACCTGAAAGAAAAGAAGCGAGTGGACTTTGAAGATGGCGTAGGACGAGCACATCCATTCTAACACCTGACCGTCCAATCAAACTTGAGGTCCTAATCGAAGGGCCTCGCCTCAGTCAAACGCACGCAGAGAAAACAGCGACGAGTAACGTCCCCACTACGTGGTAGGGTAACCTGCTATTCGAATATCCCGGCTGAATAGCAAATGTCATTTGTAGATGTCGGCAACCTGAGACAGACAAATTTCGTGACCGTCCTTGACTGTACAAGATCCGGGGTGAATTGTCAAAGCGGTCAGAGGCGAGTCACTTGAAGAAATCTGACGTCAAGTTTGTTAAAAGGATGTGTCGCGAGCCGGCTACGGACCAAAAGGGGCTTAACCTGATTGGACGAAATACGGACCAATCAGTACCTAGTGTTCTTAGCTCGACGCTCCTCTCCTTGTCAGGAAGCTTAAACTTGTGGATAATTCAATAGATATAGCTGTAGCCGGAAGGTTTGTCTCAGGCTACCGTGCATTTTGATTTAGTATTGGCGGATGGAACAGCAAGCCAAAGACAAACTTAAGGGATGAAATCCACAAGAAATCCTGAGGGTGATACGTGCGATGCTTTCTCCAGACTACATAATAAATGACGCAGGGGCCAGCACCTACAGTAATGTAATGTTCACTTTTGAAAACTTCGCAAAGCGTTTAGTGATTCCAACAAAATGAAATTTGCCCGAGGCTGACTATTTAAACGGTTTCTGGCGGTCCACCAGAATTAATACAATCTCCGGACATATTGGTATGGGGAGAGGCAAATAGGCGAGAGTATTCTCCCTATTTCACTGGGTTGTGTTCAACTCATTGCCAAAGTGTACAGGATCTTATGGTGAACACGCATTTAAGAATGCGGGTGCGGAAGAACGGACTCCGAGTGCGCCCATTGAAAGTGAAGCACTTTCGTCATCATCAGACATCATAGGTATCAACATCAGTGTTGACATTGACGCTTCACCGCCGTACAACCACACTCGACAGTGAGTGCTTTCTTTTAGCTGTTCTGTACAGACTTACTAGGGGTAATCTGAATACACTTTATGGGTATCGGGAGGTTTTATCCGTTTCTGCCATTGGTTTCGAACGGTCCCAACACAGGTAAATACCACGTATCAGGAAACATGGTGATCAATGGACCGATTTCTGTACTGGGTGAATAGTTGGATTTAACAATATCGACCTATCATGAATGACCAGAACCAGTCTACGCCGCGCGTAGCGGTGATCGTCAGGTTGATACTTACTGACCAGAAGCTCCGTGGTTCAAACGAAACCCCGACATCTCGACTGCTCCTGTCTAGGTTTGAGAAACCTGGCAGTAGCAAAGCCCTTGCGCTGCTTCGGGTGGGATGGCAGTCATGCACCGAAAGGGTGTTACAGCTGAACTTTTTTTATCAGCCACCACTTCGATAAAAACCAAAGACGAAATAATGAGCGGTTGAAAGAGTCAGATCGAAGTAGCATATCCATAACCCCAGAGTTCGTTAAACCCGATTTACGGCGAAGAAGAAACGTGTGACTGGATTTCCATCCAAATGGAGGGAAGTCACAAACTTTGAAACAGCTGACGAGTGCACTGGAGCTACAATGGATCCCTAGAGCACCGAGGTCTGTACGTGTGCACTATACCCAAATTACAGAAGAATGATGCGGAGTACTTCAGGAAACAGCGGGCGTATTCAAGAGAAAATGATTGGGGTACTGAAACACAGCAGACGAGTGTAGTGTTCAGTGACAAAAATATTGGCGCTGATGAACCAACTTAGCGCGTACACGATACAAGGTAAAAAAAAGCTGAATTCGAGCAATCGATCCACGACAGTTTGGAAGGCAATGTCCACGGACGAAATGAACCAAACGGCATTTCGCTCTAGCCAGCTCATGTATCGAGATCTCGGTCGACTTACATCTTTGATCATTATGACCGTGGATTGGTCTGCTCACAGAGGGGATAGAAATAAGATGAAAGGTTCTATTGGTATAATAGATTTGTGTACGGTCACAACTTCCGTACATAGCAGCGGCTTTCATTTCAGGCATCAGACACCTATGACAGGTAGCATTCCATAATCGTACAGAGAGCGTACAACTTCGGTATTGTTGCAAAATGCGATTAGACCAAAAATTTGATGGTAAGAGATCAACTGAAGTGCGATCCTCGCGAATGCAACCGCGTACAACTCAACATAGGTGACAATCAGAGAGTTTGGTCGAAAATATGGCTTCCACACACAATACTGTCCAAGAGAAACCCCTGTCACCCATGCAAAGTGTCCCTTCACGGACTTCAGGAGAAGCTGAAAATCCTCTCTACCAGTAGTAACCTCCCTTGAGCAGAGCGGAGTAACGTACAAAACCTATTAGGTGAACCGACCACATAGCACACCAATGTGTCAGCCAGAAGGCCTCGGTAGGAACGTTTGGTACGCTTGTCCTTAGAAGGTACACTAACCCAAACAGCTAACGATGTGCGAGGACGTATTTCCTGACTACAGCGAAAAACTGAGATCGTCAGCTAAGAGAAGGAAGAGGAAAACACAAAAAATTGAAAGTTTTGACTACTTAACCAACTAAAACTCAGTTTTAACTGACTCGAATGGAAATCTAAGCTAACCTAGTAGAACAGTTCAGAACGAAGAAAACTGGTATCAGATCGTCTACTCTCGCCACCCATTAAGCATACGCAGCAAAGTACGTAGATGATAAAATGAGTGCGGAGTGTGGCTTGAAAATTTGAGAAGAATCACCTCCAAGATGTACACCGTTCGAGTAAAAGCTTCTTATACATAGAAGTCCGGCTACTGCATCTGAATTGGAAGCACTCCACTGATATCCAGCTGTCGAGTGTCACGATTGTGTGAAAGAACCCTGAATGTTTGACAGAGGTCAGCAGGGCGACCTTTCTTGAGTAGCTACTTTGTTATCGATCAGGATACGGTATAGTTCACTTTGTTTTACAAAGGTTGACGTTAATGGTAAAAAAAATTGCAACACATAGCAAGCAACGTCTCCTCTCCACAATACATTAAGCAAACAATGCCGAATTCTTCGACAAACGAAACTAGATCACGCTCGACTTTACGAGCTGTTAGAAGATAACCGCGTGAATAAAAAAAAGGCCTGCATGATTGACCACGCGACGGCCGATATGGCATAAGAATATTGTTAGTGGTGTATGTCATGGTTGTACGAGGGCTGGGACATTGCCAAGGCGGCCACACCTAGAAAGGAGGACGATTGGGGTCCTCAACCAAAGCCTTTGGCTCAAAAGCCTAACCGCAAGGCAGCAGTGTTCGGCTGGAAATGCAAGTACATTACCATTTTTTACGGAACACGTCGCCATGCATGTTCCAACCCCCAGCCTGGAGGCCAAGAGACTGTGTTCGTCGGAACTCTACCCATGGAGACTTTGTGAGCATCGTGCGGACACTCCCCAGTATAGCTCAATGGGTCGCCGAGGTACACAAACCGTCCGGTCTCTTCGTGACCTACGGCAGTGAAGCATCAGTGCCAACACTGATGTTGCTGTCATTGGTGATGATGATGATGATGCATGATTGACCGTATGCACTTCCTTCCAAGGACGCCAACTTCCTCCACTGTCTGAGAGTCGGCCGAACAGCTGCACAGATCCGCACAGAGACAAAATGTGTGAAGTCATCGGGTAAATATTTCGGTTGCTAGCAACTTAATGAGACGCACTTTTTCATGACACCCACCGGAAGGACCAGTTTAAGCATTCGTAATTCTGCAGGGTAACTTCCAGATGTAAGGCTATCACTGACCAACAGAATGCGAACAAATAGCGGAATAGTGCATGTCAGAAGACCACATTCTGCCGCCAAAAAACGTAATTTGGAGAACACAATGAAAGGGCTGCCTAAGGGATGACTATGGACAATCAATTATAGTCATTAAGGGTGAAGGAGCCAATAACTGTCCATAGAAAACTTACTAGCGTCAGTTTCAATCTCAACCAGGACTTACATTATCTCCGATGGACTTTGTGTCTGTCGTGTTCGTGGACGAAGTATTGTTGGTCTGAGTTTCAGCGGTACTATTTGAACCGGTCTCTGGGACGGTTTGTTCAGATTCAGTGCTACTTCCACC